GAGACGGACTATGGCGCGTTGGCCGGGGCGTTGATTGTGGGCCACCTCATTGAATGCTCAGCATACGTGACCGGGTCGAATTTCTCTGGCTTCACTGAGTATGATCTTGAGACGTTTGTGGATCTGGCGTTCGGGATTGTGGAGGTAGATACTGGGGGAAGTTGTGTTGTCACGAAACATGAAGGGACGAAGGGGCTTGTGAATGTGGATGTGGTTAAGTGTCAGTTTTTGTATGAGTTGCAGGGTGATGTTTATCTCAATAGTAAGTTGGGGGTTTTTTATATATGTTGTTACTTTTTCTCATTGACCTTACCATCCTCACATCCTACAAACTCTCTGTTTTGTTATCTGTTTGTGCGGAGAATACTAACGGTATTGGCTTGTAGGCGATGTCAAGGCGTATACACAAAATATCTCAATCGAAGCCGCCGGGAAAGATCGGTATGTACATGTACATTTACATGCCCTCCTCTCCAGCCACTCTAGGGATATAGCTTCATGTCTTATTAAATCCACAGGGTGCGAGTGTCTGGTGTAACTGGCGGCCCACCACCTCCCACGACAAAATTAGCGATTTTCTACCGAGGAGGCTACGAATCTCAGCTTCTGGTAAACGCAACGGGCTACGGCACCGATAAGAAATGGGAGCTATTCGAGAAACAGATGCGATTCGGACTAGCACAGAGGGGTTATACTTCGGATAAATTCCACTATTTGGAATTTCAAGTGTCAGCTCCTGCCCGTCTAGTTCGGACTATTAAGATCTTGTCTAACAGTGATGGGAATGCAGGCTTGGGACCCCGGCTGCCAATCCGTCCAGTCAATTTCAGAGCACAACATATTGTCGTGTATTCGTGCAGGCCGGGGATACAAACACCGTCATGGCGGTACCGATGGTCATGGGCGAGTTTGCCATGCAGCACTTCTCAGGTAACTGCACAACGAAAACAACTACCGCAAATTGACCTAGCCCATAAGTTAACGCTGGTCTCCTCTTAGGCTTCCATCTCTCCCTAGATCGACGAACGGCCCTGCCACGCCCTTACCTCGCGTTCTACCCAGCTCTCTACCAACAACATTCCCTCAAGGAAACGGTAAACATTCTCAGCTCCTCATGCCCCGGTAGGGGTGATGGTGGCCAAGAATTCACAGCCACCTCATCACCAATCCCCGCCGGCCACCCGCCGGCCTTCGAACCCCTCGAGGCGCGGAGAAACTATGATACTATCTCCCCAATAGACCTGAGCACGCTCGGCCCGACAACGCGCATGCGCCTCGGCGACATCGCCCTCGCGCGGTCAGGGGATAAGGGAGCCAACATCAACTTTGGCATCTTCGTGCGGTCAGCGGGCCAGTGGGATTGGTTCCGCAGCTTCATGACACGAGAGAGGATTCGGGCGCTATTGGGCAAAGACGATGATGGATACTTTATCGAGCGGGTTGAGTTCCCGAAATTGTGGGCGGTGCATTTTGTGATATACGGAATTTTGGGGCGCGGGGTGAGTAGTTCGACCAAGCTAGATTGTCTGGGGAAGGGTTTTGCGGATTACGTGCGGGATAAGGTTGTTGAGGTTCCCGTGAGTGTTTTGGAGGCGGGGAGGTTGTGATTGTGCCTTTTTGGCTCTTACTTTTTTAAGGAAGTTGAACAATTCCTGCTATTAATGAGTTTTTTCTGGCGGTACTGGTACTCCGTAGATGGATCTGTTTAGGGTATTTTGAGGCATTGTACGAAGTAGCTCGCTCCTCTAATTTGTGAGGTGCCCCGCCCAAGCCATATTGTTACTGCGTATGATCTTGTGTCTGTATCGGGAGTAAACTTGAATCGCCTCGTTTCCAGCAGTAAGCTATATCTGCTATCTTAGCGCCTGTTCCAAGATTCCTCCACCAGAACTGGAACCAACCAGCAGCCGGATATCCCGCCAAGGTAAGCCGCCCAATCGTCATCAAATGTCCAAGACTGTTCCTTGATCTGGGAACGAGTTTTGCCAGGATGGTTTCAGATCTGGCCCCAAAGGAAATTTTGAAAAGTACTCGGGAGGTACCTCCAGTTTTGCTGTAGAATGTATTGAATCTTTAAGTACCAAAAAGTACCTTTGCCTCCCACATGACCTGACCTCATCCATCTTCCTCTACTTCCTCTTCTTTCTTCTTCTTTCCAACTGTTCACTCCTTAGCATTCGGCAGTCTATCTGCCCTGTCCTGTTGGTTCGACGAGTAACTTCTTCCTCGACCAACTACCGATACCTTCATTCTTGCTTTTCCGCGTCCAGTGGTTCGCCACCCTGGTCTTCGGGTCTATGTTTTTGGCCATTGGCGGATTCTCGTTTCACCATTCCGCTCCATCCCAGCTTCTCTGAAACCGCTTACGGATGACTGTATCCCCCGTTTATTACCCAGAACCAAGACTCATTAGCCGAAGTGGTATCGTCTTGGGAGAACTTGTTGTTCAGGCTGCCCGAAACGGCCACAGTTTTGTCAACTCTGGCCGTTGGAACCTTGGAAAACAACCTCCTCTCCCCTTTTTACCCTGTCGATTTTGCTCGTTTTGGCAGCTTCTTATCTTTACCTGAGAATCGCTATCCTACGAAACTTTTAAAATTTCGGGTTTACCCGTCCCTCCCCCACCCCCAAACATTATCGTTAATACCATGATCGTCCGCCGGAATTCCGACCTGGAAATGCATCTCCCTGATGCGGCCCAGGCCGCCCCGTCCACCGCTGCCAACGAAGCCGACGTAGATATGTCATCAGACGACCCGAACAATGTCAGCGCCTTACCAGCTAAACTTGCCGCCCGTTTCTACCAAAAATCAAATGGCCGTAGACGCGCTTCTACCACTTCCTCCCGCCGCAGCTCGATATCCTCATTACACTCAAATATATCTGCCCACGGGGGACCCCACAGTGATCATGTTGCGCAACACCTACGCCGTGCATCCATCATCGAATCCCGTAAAGCGCGCCTTGCTGACCGCGCAGCACATGCGGAAAAGGTGCGACTTCGTGCTGCGCTTGCGAAGAATGAGTCCAAACACATCTTGCGGGAGGAAAGGGCATTGGCTGCGCAGCAGGCGCGTGAGAAGTTGCTGGCCGAAATTACCGCCAAGTGCGAGGAGGAGGTTCGAAGAGCAAAGAAGAAAGCTGAGGATATGAAGGAGAGGAAGGCGGCGGAACACGCTAGGCAGCGATTGGAGATGGCGGAGAAATTTGCAGAGGCAGAGAAAAGAAGGCTGCTTTATCAGCAAAATACACGGCGGCCACGAACCACGAGTCTTGCAGCAGCTGAGGAGAAGAAGCTCGCGAAGGTGGCCGTCAAGCAGATGAGCCGGACTAGTGCTACGCGGATTATCCAGCGGGCATGGCGCAACCACTATGCCCGCACCGTTACCAGGGAATTCCGGGAGGTTGATCTTTCATTGGAGCGCATCCGCGCTTTGAGTTTTGAGGAAGTTGGGGCGTTGCTCTCTGAGGAGAAACTCTTGACTGTGACGGCCAAGGTTCTCCGGCTGTGCGGTTTACAGGATACAGAAGGCGGTGCCATGGGTGAACGTGGCGCTGTCCGTACATTCCTTAGCAGTTATTTGATCTTGGCCCATCCAGCACAAGTTCTAAGCAGCAATGGAGAACAGGAGCAGGATCTTATTGCAAAGGGTCGTGATTTGCTAGTTATTTTTGAGCAAGTTATTTCTCAATTATCGGCTATTGGGGTATGGCCTGCCTCGCTTACCACCGATCTTCAGGCGTTGTCGGAGTCCTATAATACATTCTTTTCTGCATTCCACGCCTGGAAGACTCACGACTCCTCAGTCTTGATCGAAATCATGCTAGCACAATTCATTGAGCTAGAGCTCATCTGGCAGACGGTCAAGGATGACCGTGAAGGGGGTGCTGCGGATGACTATCAGAAAGGCATTCGCCAGAATCAAATTTTGTTGCTTGCACGTCTTAAGAGACTGGCAGGTGCCGAGAAGGCGATGTCAATGGTGAAACAGGCTTTGAGGAAATCTAAACGGGACAAGTTGAAAAATGGAGCTTCGCAGCAGTCTATCCCCCGCGCCACGAGTGTGCCTCCATCTACAGAGTTGCTCCCAGAGCCTGCAAAGTCACCTATTTGCGAATCGTTCTCCACCGCAGATAACTTGGCTCTCGCCCAGCTGGATCAGCAGGAAATGACTCCCCGCGATCGTTTTGCGAAGGCCTTGACCGCTCTTCCGGATAATAGGGCGCTTGTGCACGAGCTTTTGATAAACAGGGAGTACAAAATTGATCAAGGGCCATATACAGCCATACGACGCCAGATCATGAATCTTATGTGTGAGATGATGAGGAAAGATATCGCAAAAGGGCTGGGGACTACTTGGACGGTAGCGATGGCCAGCGTCATTCAGGACAGACTGCTTCGTTCCCTAAGACCTGGAAATTCGTTACATGTTTTGATCAGCGAGGTCCTCGACCCGAAATATGTTGAAAACCAGTGTAATGCAGGCACTTTTTCGTACGATGCATTTTTTGAGTTCATGAGCAATATTCTACCGAAGCTTTGTGCTCCATACCGCGATCCTGAAGTCAAGGCCTTTGCCTCTGACACTTCGGGCGATGCAATTGACCGCCTTGCGAGATTAATGGGCATCATCGATCTTTTATCCTTAGATCATACCAATTTTCTGCTCCATGTTGCGGCTCCGCAGCTCATCCAGGAAGGACCAGGATACGAGCAGCGAGTGTTTTCGCGACTTTTGCAGGAAGGGGTTATCACCCTTGAGAGGACCCGGGAATTCTGGCGTGTGAACCGCAAGACAATCATCGAGGACATGAAGAAACGTGACCCGGACAATATGAATCTGGATTATAAACCACCCGCAGCCAAGATCTACGCACAGGGCATCGTTGACTTGGTCTTAAGCAACAGACGTCTATCTCCCGAACTCATTCCTGAAACCTTAGATATGGATCGCGGACACCTTGAGCAAATTCGTTCACGTGCCTTCATGATTGCAGCTACCGCCTCGATCCTGCTCAGCGCCAAGAATCTCCTCAAACGCGACGTCCGCTCACAATGGAAGAGCGAAGCAGAACGAATCATGACCCTTGATTTCAACGACATAAAACCGGAGCGCGTCCAGTCAATCCTGGAATCTTCTCACGCCATGCCCGCATCAACACGGGCGCAGCTATTTTCCACTATTAAACGCGTTCTCAGCCCTGCGACTGCAGCGTCTATCACGGCCACGGCCACAGCTGCAGCCTCGAACTCCTCGGCCATCTCTATTTCACCTGATACAATCGCATTACTTTCCCCTCCTCACTCCTCCCCCTCTTCGTCCTCATCACCATTTTCAGGCTCAGACACGGGCAACAACACCAATGCCACAAACGTAGACTGCTTCACCGACCCGGTGACAAAACTGATGCTCTCACGACTACGAGCACACGTTCTCGCGCGCCTCAGCGCGTCGAGCGCCAGTGAGCGGGTGCGGACGACAGCGACGGCGAGCCAAAGTCTGGCTGCGGCGGGGATGCCGGAGTTTGTGAATGAGGTGGGGAAGATTGTGGAGAGCTTAGGGAAGGTTAGAGAGGTGGATTGGTTGTGTCATGGGATGGTTTACGAGGAGGTTTGGGGTGAGAGGGAGGAGGATCGTGAGAGCAGGCAAGGGTGAAGGATGAGGGGTGAGGGGGTTTGTTCCATTGGCCTTACTTTGCTCATGCGTGGTAGATACGTGGTTGGTTTTTTGTACGATCATACCCGATCTTTTTCGTTTTGAGAGATGCTGTGTCCCCCTACCTTATTTTTATCTTTTATCCCAGCTTTCTATCTTTCTTCATATTTTCATTTCCCTTGCTGTATCTCGTTTTCAGTTTTTCTGTCGATTCAGACCTTTGCGCTTTTTGCATACCGCTCGTATTTTTATATTTTGTATTTTCTTTTCTGTCATACGCATGGGAATGAGAGCTGGAAGAGATCGAACTAATCAGGGCGAGAGACGATTTTTTTTGGCATTTCATCATTTTCTTTTTTGTTCCTTATTGTTTTCTTTCTTTCTTTCTTTCTTTCTTTCTTTTTTTTGGTCTTTTTTTGAAATAGCTTTGGTTAGGATTCGAGAGTGTTGATTCAGAAAGGGGCGAATTGCTCTACCTCAACCTCACGGGAGACGATGAACAGGTTTGTATCTTCCTATTTTCACTGTCACAGTACAATAGATAGTTGTTACGCATTCCGGAATGGACGGGAAGTAATGAGATTGGATTTCTCTCTCTAACTTCCTCCTCTTCGTTTTTTTTTTCTCTCTCTCTTTCGCAATCTGATTTCTTGGAATAATATGTTTTCATAGTCTTTCAATGCGATATTTATATAGCTGTATGGTGGTATTTCTTTATTCAAAGACCAAAATAGATCGTTGACAGTGACATCATCGTTTATGCTTATCTGATAAAGTTTAAAAACTCAATCCAGCCGCATCGGGAAATTCCAAACATCCGCCCTCGGGAAGAAATAGAAAATATCAACAATTAATTAAGCTTGACTGATTGTCACTCATATCATTTTAGGGATTTGCGGATATCCATGGGGATATCGAACTATAAACTAAATTACTATTCTTACATGGCAGGTGAGTTGAACTACCCGGGTTATATGGGAAGAGAGGGGAAGTGTTTTGCGAGGGGTGCTTGAAGAAGGGGGCAATCTCTGCTTGATTGCTTTTAATATGCATGCTAATCCTGTGTAATGCAGACTAGCTATATGGCATAACTTGATCTAAGTTATATAATAAACAGAGGGATTAACCGCACCAAGACGATTACAAGCCTCTGTGCAGATAACATACGCTTTCCGCCCGCCGCACCCACCGCCGTCTTACTACCTCCCGCTTCCCCCTCACCACTAGCGCAAACACGCCTTTAAAAAAAAAAAAAAATGCCCACAAGCCCCTCTGGAACCATCACCCTCCTATCCCCACTTACACCTCCCTCTCTCGAGCGCACCTGGCTCACAGCCCCGCACCCACGCCTCCCCTTCGTCGCAACCTGCAGCGCCGACAAAACCGTGCGCATCTACTCACTTCAGAATTTCACCTTACTCTCAACGATATCAGGCGGGCACAAACGCAGCGTGCGCAGCTGTGCATGGAAACCGCTCGTAAAAGGCGAAAGCGTGTTGGCGACGGCGAGTTTTGACGCGACAGTCGGGTTATGGAGGAGGTGGGATGGATACGGGCACGGGGCCGATGACGGCGATCGCCTCGCTACAAGCAGTGGGCCTGGTGGCAATGACGGTGGCGACGGCGGCGACGACGATGGGGACTCCTACTCGAACAACGAGGAAGAAGACGACGAGGAGTGGCGCTTCGCTGTCCTGCTGGACGGGCACGACAGTGAGGTAAAATCCCTTTCGTGGTCCCCGGCCGGCACCTTGCTGGCAACCTGCTCGCGCGACAAGTCCATCTGGATCTGGGAGGATTTGGACGATGGCGATAACAACTTTGAAACGGTCGCGGTTATGCAGGAGCATACTGGCGATGTGAAGTGGGTGAGCTGGCATCCAACTGAAGAGTGTTTGGTGAGCGCGAGTTACGATGATACGATACGATTGTGGAGGGAGGATATCGATGATTGGGGTCAGGTGGCATGTCTAAAAGGCCATGGAGGTACGGTGTGGTGCGTTGAATGGGAGTCTGGCGAGGTGGAGCGTACTGTGCCTGTTACCATGAGTGGCTCTGGTGATGGGACTGGTGCAGAAGAGACGCTCCGGAAGGAATGGATTGAACAGCGTACACTTTCCGGTCCCCGGTTGGTTTCCTGCTCCGACGACCGCACGATTCGCATATGGGCTAAACAAGCTCGCCATCCTGCAACCGCCAAATCCGGCCCTGCATCGATACCCAGCATTATCCGCCCAGCCGATATTGACGAAAAGTGGCTTGAGCAGTCCCAATTACCACGCCGGCACGATCTGTCCATTTACTCCGTTGCATGGAGTAAACGGACCGGGCTGATCGCGTCGACAGGCGCGGATGGGAGGATTGTAGTATACCAGGAGCGATTTGTTGAAGCACAGGGGCCAGAAGAGGCTTCTCCAACTACGAACGCAAATGGCAATATGAACTTGGATACGAATGCTCCCTCAGAACCGGCAGATGTAGGTAGTATCGAGAAGAATGGTGATAATGCACGGGCAGAAGAACAAGCGCGGACGCGACCAGGGCCCACGGCTACCCCTCAAACAGAATGGCACGTCCTCGCTATGATCGATGCTGCGCACGGCATCTACGAGGTTAATCATGTGTGCTGGGCACTGCGGGCTGATAAAGGGCGTAAGGAGGGAGAAGAGGAGGAGGTCCTGATAAGTACGGGTGATGGTGGAGATGTGAAGGTTTGGAGGCTGGAGAGATGATCAAGACGATGATGATGGTGGTGGTGGCGGTCAATAATGTAAACTTCGCTCATCGTTTCGCATTTTCAGGACAGAGTTGGATCCATTTAGATTACTTATAAAATAATATGCTCTGAAGGTAAACCTCCCGTTTTCATAACGGTAACTATAACTATGTTATTTTCCTCCGATAATCTAGTCGATGAATAATTCCCCCGGAAACTAGTAATGGAGAACAATAATATATTAATTAACCGCTCCAGATGCGAATTTATCGGACAATAAACACTTCCAAATGTTATTGAACGGTCCTTTGTTTCTGAAGGAAAGGCCCTGTATAGCCTTAGATACCCTGCACACAAACACCTTGCTGCGTAATAGAATATCAACAAGTGAAAAAAAAAAAACCCCGGGAAGACATAATAACTAATGGGACAAATATACCTGACTTGTATATATCTAGAAGAAATGAAATCTAACAAGCCTTAGGGCATTAGCGATGAAATAAAAAGGGGGTAAGAAACAAGCCAAAATGACAAATTGAATAAAATGAAAATGGGAGTGAAAATGAAAATGAAAGTAGCAATGGCGAAGGGGGATCCCTGAACACCATAAATTTAAAGAATAATAAATAAAAAGAAGGATATCAAGGATGTATAAAATGGTCGTGAATATATTATATAAACAGAACAAAATAATTTGCGATATATGAAAAAGAAATGGATAGTTCATGGATTAAAGTATATAGAAAATAGAAAGGACAAGGAGAGAATGGAGGATGGAGAATAGCTGAAGGTGGTGGGAAGGTAGGAGATAGATAGGTAAGCAGCTAGATGGTTGTGTTCTGTGGAATATGAAGTCCGTTCGGTTGTTGGGCCAGTGAGCCAGATATGAGGCTGTACTTGGGCAAAACCCTAAGAGAAATTCCCAGGAGCATGATGTGTTCCAGGTAAACCACGCTCCTTGTCCCCTTCCCCTTTGCTTTAGGGTTTATCAACGAGCCGTTTCCGTTCGTCAGACGTATCATCATCCACATCACTCCCGTCCTCATCTCCAACAACATAAGGCTCCTGCTCTCTACTCGACCTCGCCGAAACAACCCGACTTGGCCGCTCATCCAACTCCGCCTCGTAGATATTTACTGCCTCAACATCATGCCCACGTCTACCCCGTTTATTCGAATATCTAGGAAGGGATCCCGAGCTGCTCGACCCCAGCATCGGGTAGATGCCCCGGAACTCATATCCTCTGTCCTGGTGCTTCTGGCGCGATCGCCAGATGAAAACGCCCCATATGACAGCGGCGATGGCGACGACAATAAGCGCCACTTCCCCGGATTTGTAATATGCCTTCCACATGGCGGACTTCACCTTCTCCTTCTCGCGCTCGGCGGCTGCTGTACTGTTTGGATGCGCGCGAACGGAGGTTGCTGGGCCCTTTTCGCCGTCGATTCGAGAGTCGGCAGGGTTGCCGCCAATGTCCGCAATATCAACTCCTATGAATCTGTCGAGCATTTCGCGCGAGCGGGGGGGGTAGTTGAACGGCACCATGTGGCTTGCGTTGTAGAATAAGACGTATGTCAGATTTCGGGCCTGTTGATAGAATCCTGCCGATTCACCTTCGAAGATCCAATCTTGTCGTGGCGCCCAGACGCCGGGGGAGAGTTCGAATCCTGTCCCTCCAGACCATTTCATGTCCTTGATCAGGTCTTCATTGCCGATGTGATTGCATATCATGTCCTTCTGTCCACTGAATAGAAGAATCGGAAGGCCCTCCTCGAGAAGTCCAGGTAGCAGCTCGACGGATGGCTTGGATTTCAGGGCCCTGAAATGGCCACTTACTGCACCAGAGCATTCAGACCAGCCAGTTTGTTTGTCGCTATTAATATGTAACGCTTTGGTGACATTCTTAAACCGGAGATACGGTGCCATATTCTCCAAGTCAGGAGGCCAATTCATCCCACATGCGCTGTACTCATCTGTAAGACGGATATCATACATGTTAATGCAACGGTTGCCTTTATGTGTCTCGTCGATAATCGCCTGAAGCACTTCTTCACAGGCGGAAATCTGCACAGTCCCCGTGCTGTCTTCGACGTTCAATTTGTTCAAGCATTTTGATAATTTCGCCTCGACGCGGCTTGATGAATCGGTGCCACCTTGGATTATTCCTTCCTGATAAGCGTAGGGTAGGTAAGATAGATACTGGTGGCGAGGGGATATCCAGCCATTGCCAATGAGGATCCCTTTGAGTTTCCATCGGGTCAGCGATTCTCCCTTCTTATTCCGATCGAGAATTGCGCGGGCGATATAAGGAATGTATTGTCCTGCATATGACTCTCCGGCGAAATAAAGCTAAACAAAGAATACATTAATAAAACCATTTGACATGCCGAAACAATGGATAACGGGGGTGGGGGAAAGCCTTACATCATTTTTCTCGTAATGGGGGAACAGCTCAAACCATTTTTCCAAGAAAGTTACGAACTGCGAGGCCATCTCACCGAGCTCACTGACATAGGCCCCCGTGCTAACATAGCTAAAACCTGTGCCCACCGGCTGATCTACAAATAGCAAATTGGCAAATTCGTCCCAAGAGCCATCGGTATGATTTAGCAGATGATCATTCGTAACCCTGTAAGGACCAATTTCCATCAGCGCTCCGTCTTCGGAACTGCAGCCAGGTCCACCGTTCAGCCATATTACGGTTCGCGGTTTATCGGCAATGTGCTGGTTGGCAACATGCCAGAAGAAGAGGTTTGCGCTAGTTTTATGGTTGATTTCGATGTGGCTATGGATGAAAAATGTTAAGTGTTAAAAATGAATGCGTAAACGCCCGCTTATTTCAAAGATATAGCACAAGATATAGCACTCACCCAGCATGCATTTGCACCTGTGGGCTATCAGGCTGGCCTGGAAGTGAATCAACAAAATAATCAGCCGCACATTTTGCACTGACAGCGAGTGAGTTCGCTAGCGCGAGGAAGACAGTGAGCCATGTCGACCGGCCACCAAATGCCCGGTAGGCTCGAGCTTCAGAGAAACCCATGCCGGTATAGCCTCAACAAGAGGTGATCCCGAGGTGGAAATAGGTCCCGCGCCACCCTCACCTCATCGAGCGCATCAAAACCTCATGTACAGAACTTTATGGAGTCAGGAGGCTGTTCGGGAACGCCAATAGGAATCGAAATAGTAGTGGAGGGCACGCTTGGGAAATTGGACAGTTGATAATATCAGCAAACGCCGCTATCTAAATAAGCATTGTACAATTCACGAGCGGCGGGCACGGAAGAAACTAGAAGTTGAATCAAATAGTATCTACGCCAAAGGAGAGGAGTGATATACAGCGTACGTGAGCCTCAATCTCAGGAAATGTCACATGATCACAACTCCTTCAGCTTTGAAGTGCGCTAAGCCATACTAGGAACGAGGAAGCATGACAAGTGTTTTAAATTCTTATATTCTCTATCCTCTGTAAAATCAACTCTATCCATTCTGTCCTAGAGAAGGTCGTCAAGTCCCTTATCCGAATCGCTTTTAATCAGCTCGATCATTCCCTATCAGCACTGTCAGTGTTTACATTCAAAACCGGCCCCAGACGTTAAGCAGCCACCCCAACGAACCTCAGGCATAATTGGTTTCCCATCTTCTCCTTTCACATAGCGAAATGGCATCTCTGTACTCTCGTGCTCATTTGAGACGTAGCTCCGGGAAGTCCACGTACGGAATCTCCTCCAATGGTACTGTAAGGAGAAAGGAGGAGGGGTTATGATTAGCATGCATATTCAGAATGATGAGCTTACATTCGCATTGCCCACCTTTGCTTAGAGTTACCAGCCTGGTCACTTCTAACTGCGGTATCAGTCGTCATTTGTTTGGGTCCTAACCTGCGACCCGTGTAGCCTTTCTGACGTAGCTTCGAGTGCGATCTGGAGGGTGCG